TTTCCTCATTCATATTACATTTTTCACTTCTAATTGACTTTTTTATTCTATTTCATTTGTTTTATTTCAGAGATTGTGGAGTATATGTTGCATGCTTTGCTGAGTATATTATTGAAGATCTTCCAATCCCTGTTGTCAATTTTGATGTGGATGGTCTTCGAGCTAGGTTTGGTATATTGTTGTGGCACCATGGGAGGAACAAGCAGTTGCATGGCGAATCAAGTGAATCTGAGGCTCCAGTAGCACCTAAAAAGACTCGTGGAAAGAAACGCAAGAAGTAGTCTAGGTCTCTTTTTGGTTTTAGTTAATCGTAGCATGAAAACTTTGCAAGATTTTAATAGTTTTTTATGAAGTATGGTATTTTGCATTATTATATTGTAAAAATGCTAGCTTTTAAAAGTGTTTTCTAGGAATACAAGTGTAATAGTACAATATGTTGCTATAACTGTTTTAATGTTGGAATGTATCTTCAGTTTGTTTTATTAGACTTTTCTTAGGCTTCTTCCATAAAGTTGTTGGTTTAATAGGAGTGCCTTTAGGAGACAGAATTTTGTCAGCACTTGAAGTCAAGCCATTAGTGTAGAACATGGCTGTTACAGTAGCACTGTTAGTTCCTACTACTACTTTCATTTGTAGTAGGAGAAGGATTATTAGTTCGCTGTAATACACAAGTAGAAGTTATTTTTGAGGTGTATTTTTAAGGGAGTTACGATGTTCAAAAAGAGGAACTATGTTGTTATTTTGTTGAAGAACATGGCGAGCATTGATTTGAATGAGAAGAAATATTTTTAGAAAGTGAACTGGTCTTGAAATTATATTGAGAGTAGTTGTTATTTGTAGTTGAATCTAAGAAAATCTGTGCATAATTTGCATTGCTGCTCCAGTTGTATTCTGCAAAGATTTTGGTTCAAGTATATTAGTGCAGTAGAACTATATACTAATCATGTATACTGATATATCATTTGGGTATCACGTTGTATTTGAGTACCTTTTTTCCTGCAGTAACTAGATGTAAGTACTGACATGAGTTGCAAAGCGTGCGCATTTTGGGTATCACGTTGTATTTGGTGCACCATTGTATTTCTGCGCATATTTTGTTTTAGCCATATTAGTGCAATACCACTATATACCAGTGAGGTATACAAATATACCATTTGGGTATCACCTTATATTTATGTACCTGATGATGTACAATAACTGCATGTAAAAGGCTTCCAATTTGTTATACTTCAATACAGACATGAGCTGCAAAGCGTGCCCATTTTGTTAATGATGTATGTACAAATTTGCATTTGCGGCACCACTTCTATTTCTGCACATATTTTGATACCAATAAGATATACTGATATACTAATAAGGTATACAGATATACCACTTAGGTATCACATTTATATTTTAGCATCTTTTTTCCCGCAGCAACTAGATTTAAATGCATCTCACTTTTATATACTAAAATAGAAAATAAACATGTTCTTATTGAAAACACAAGTAGCCATATAAATTTGCTTCCAAAAAGTAATTTGGCAAAGAATCATCATACCAAATATATGTCTAGTGCAAGAAATGCATTTTATTTCTTTGCAATTCAAATGCTATGATTCTACGATATATGAGTTCTATAAAAATATTGAAGCATTATATCAATCTCTCTTTGGAATATTTTGACATGTTCTCCGGTTGTGTCCTTTTCTCCCGCATAGTGCACATGTAACTGTATTTCCTTCCCAGCCTCCTATGCCTCTCTTCTTTTTAGGTCTTCCTGGTTTGCTTTTTCCTTTTGGTGGCGGTACCACCTGCGAAGAGACATGTTCTGGAATTTTCCACATTGTTTCATCAGGCAAAGGATTTACTGGTATCTCATATGTTTTCAGCAAGTACTCTATGCTGTAGTAATCCGAGCAATACTTGTATGAATCCATATGGAATTTTTGTATAACTACCATTGCATGTGGACATGGAATATCGTCTAGCTGAAACCTCCCATAAGTGCAGTTTTTTTCATGTAGGCGCACCACATTTTCTTGTTTGGCCATCAATTATTAAATGTAAGAATTCAGTTGATGGCAACACCTAGTATAATTTTAATTAAGAAAAGTCATTAGCTATATGAAGTAATAGTATTTTTCAAATAATAATATTCAGTTGTTTAGTGAAATCACTAAGGTAAAAAAGTAAACTACAGTACATACAGTGTTTTAATGATTTTTTGGTCCCAAGTAAAGGTTAGTTTT